ATGTAAAAATTATATAAATAAAAATTATATTAGAATAGCAGAAAAATCCACATTAATTCCATATTAGCTGACTGGCAAACAAGATTTGCACAACATACAAGATAAAAATAAGATCATTATGATATCTACTTGCTGACTTCCAAGATCCAATACAGGTCTAGCTATACCTGAAAAAAAAATCCTTAACGCCCAGAGTAAACCAATCCAAGGTCTCATCTTACCAACTTTGGGGTCCAAAACCAAGCCTCCAGCATAAGCTGCTTTCTTCTGCCCTTTCTTGTATTTATTGGTATCTCCATCAATTTCTTCATCTTCATCTTCCTAATGTCAAATGAAAGATAACTTCATCAGCCAGCAATTAATTAATTAATTAGGAAGTCTTACCATTCTCTCTTTTTCAATAACAGTACTTAGTTTTAACCAACATTATTTTTAGTTAGAGGTCCTACCTATGGGAAAAGACAATTATTGTAATATGTTCATGAATCAAAATGAATGCCAAGCATTGTAGTTTCCTAAGCAATGCTATATCTCAGAATCTATGCAACTTCTATTTTAAATATTTCTGAACTCATAGAAAGTTCATATTTTTAATTCATGATTATTAAAAATACAACTTTTCATATTATACAGAATTTGAAATTGTAAAAGGGTCCTATTAAATTCATCACTCTAATATTCATGATGTAAAAAAAACTACAGTATTTCACATAGGTATTATCGTTCTCTCTCTCTTTTTTTTTGGGGGGGGGTAGGTGGTACCAGGGATTGAACTCAGGAGCACTCAACCACTGAGCCACACCCCCAGCCCTATTTTGTATTTTATTTAGAGACAGGGTCTCACCGAGTTGCTTAGTACCTTGTCAATGCTGTCAAAGGCTGTCTTTGAATTCATGATTCTCCTGTCTCAGCCTCCTGAGCCACTGGGATTATAGGTATGCACCAATACACCCCAGCTTTTTTTTTTTAGATGGGATTTTGCTACGCTGCCTAGGGTGACTTCAAATGCCTAAGTTCAAGTGAATTCTCCTGTGTCCTCCCAAGTAGCATAGGGACTATAGGCACATGCCACAATGCCTGGCTCACTCTCATTGTTAATACGGACACTTTAAAATAACTATGTCCACATAATGAAAATCCATTCCTGTGTAGTTTACTAATGGCCCACATTTAATTCTTCTGGAGAAATTAAATAGTTCTAAATTAATATTCACTATTAATTTTGGTAAGGTTCATAAAACAAGCAAATACAAGAACTTTAATCACACTTTTTTTTTAAAGAGAGAGTGAGAGTGAGAGAGGATTTTAATATTTATTTTTTAGTTTTCGGCGGACACAACATTTCTGTTTGTATGTGGTACTGAGGATCAAACCCGGGCCACACGCATGCCAGGCAAGCATGCTACCACTTGAGCCACATCCCCAGCCCCCTTAATCACACTTTCAACATTAAATTTCCATTCTGTATCATTTACCATCAATAGATAGAACAGTAGCTAAAGTTTTAGCCCCAATATGATAGAGACCACTTCAGAAACCTGATTGTAGTGTTCATAATCATACTAGTTCAAACCGAGTATCCCCAATCTGAAAATCTAAAATCTGAAGTGCTCAAAAATATGAAACAGGGGCTGGGGTTGTGGCTCAGTGGTGGAGCGCTTGCCTCGCACGTGAGAGATCCTGGGTTTGATCATCAGCACCATATAAAAATAAATAAACAAAATAAAGATATTATGTCAATGTATAACTAAAAAATATATTTAAAAAAATATGAAGCATTTTGAGTACCAACATGATTCCTTATTCAAGTACAAAATCCCCACTTCATGTAACAGGGTACAGTCAAAACACAGGTACACTAAAATATGGCATAAAATTACTACAGGATATTATATAAGGCATAAAACAATTTTGTGTTTAGACTTCAATCACATCCCCAAGATACCCCATTACAAAAATGCAAATATTCCAAAATCGGGAAAAAAAATCAAAATCTGAAACGCTTCCAGTTTCAAGCATTTTAGATTATGGATATTAAACCTGTACAGAAAAAATGCAACATAAAAATAAAAGCTCACTGGTTTAAGGAAATTAAAGGTTTAATTGATATTAAGCTTTGGATAGTGGTTAAGTGACAAAACATTTTCCATGTGTAGCTATCTACCAAAAAGGTCTAATTCCACCTTTAAGAATTTCATATTTCACAAATAATTTTGTCTGTACAGAAAAAAAGTAGAGAAGGAAACCACACAAACCCACTGGAACAAACCTGACATGATTTCTAGTACACAGGGGATTATTCTAGAGGCAGATATTATTGCAGCAATTAAAAAAAAGCTATCTAGGTAATTAAAAAGGAGGAATAAGAAAAGCAAAATACTACATAATTTTGGACCCACCAGTTTTTGCTGAGGCTTTCTGAAAATCTGCTTGTCAGGCACGATATAGTTGTTTTCATAAAATGCATGAAGCAACAAGAACTCGTTATGCTCAGATCATCCACCCATCAGTGTCCTGGACTATTAAATAGAAATTCTTTTTACAATTTGAGCTCCAAATCACAACAAACAAAAACAACTTTGAGTTAGTTAATTTTAATTTTATCAAGATACCTCCTTCAAAACTACAACTAAAATAAAGGCTGTGTTTTTTGGGGGAAAACGTAGTAAATTATTTCTAACATTTTCTTTAAGTATTATGAAAGAGACAGCTTAAATTATTAACAATTTGGCTATTTCCTTACTCCCAAAAGGACCATTCCACCAGACACATCCAGATGTTAGAGAGATGATCCTATGTTCACCCAAATTTCAGCACACTGCACCTGGCATTCCTCCCCTTCTCCCAACCAGTTTTTCCTTTTACAAAAGTTGCCCAGCTTTCAGAATCCAAGTTACTCATTTTATAAGCATGCATTTAGACTCATTATCATATAACAACTACCCCAAGCAAGCACTGAATCCAACAGGAAATGCTTTTTCCCCCTTTCTAAGTTAAATTTACCATAATGTTCCCAGTGATGTTAGTGATCTGCAATGCTAATGGAAGAACATTTAGCTCACACATAATCTGCAAAATGAACCTGGCATCTTTCCAGGTGTGTTCCAACAGGTACAACAGATGAGAAAATTCACTGTACAGAAAAGTAAGAATGAAACAGAATCAAGTAATTAAAAGAAACAATAACTATAATCAGAACTTCATAAAATCTTACAAGGAATTTTTGGTGTAAGTAACTTCAGAGCAAGAGCACCTTGCCTTTGGAAACAATTTAAAAGAAGGTCGGTATGTAATTAGGAATTAATTTATACCACTGATCCCAGTGCCCTTCTCTAAGCACAAAAAATTCCACAAAAAAATTCATATGTGTTAATAACTGCATACCTGAAAATCACTGAATCCTTTCATTCATTCTATGAAACAAGCATATATTGCATGTTTACTATGCACTAGGTACTGGCTATACCCAAAATGGACAGGAAGTCCTATCCTCGTGGAGTTTAAATCCTCATGGGGAAGACAAGAGTTTAAAAAATAAAAATAAGAATGTGCTGTAAATGAAGGCTTTTGCAATTAAAGTGAGATTCGCCCACCTCCAAAAAAAAATAAAAATAAAAATAAATTAAATATGTAGTATATTATATAATGCAAAGTGTTAAAGAGAAAAAGTTAAGCCCCAAAGACAGTATAAAATATCAAGAACAGAGATTGAACTTTTAGTTAGAGAACCAGAGAAAACTTCATTGAAAATAAAGACCTGGAAGTGGTGAACAAGTGTTATGATTTAGACCTGAAATGACCCC